CCCCCCCCCCCCCCCTTCCCCTCCTCCGCCACCCACCCACTCCACCACCGGCCATAGCCACCAGCCGACCCAAACCCAGACGCCGGCCACCACCACCACCACCTCATTCCACACACACTACACAACACACACCGCACGCCACTCTCCCACCCCACCCACCCCACCCACCCACCCCATCCCGCACCCACCCCCACACCCCCACCCCCCACCCACACCCGCACGCACTATGGCATCCTCCGTACACCCGCTGGACATCCTCGCTGGCTTTTGCAAGCCGTGCTGGGACAGCCAGCCCTCGCTCAAGGTCGTCGTCCGCTGCAAGCACGTCCGAAGATCAACTGGTGTCCGCTGCGAGCTCTGCTCCAGTCACACACACGCATCGCGCTGCGAGCATGCAATGGCATCTACATCGTCATCCGCATCATCGTCCACTTCCGCATCGTCCTCGTCCGCTAGTGTCCTCTCCGCTGACGCCATTCAGTATGCCGTCAAGCTCGGAAAGAAGGGCTGGAAGAAGATCGACGCCAAGCGTATCATCCCCGTCGTCCCGCCGCTGTACATGAAAGCCAACAAGGTGTATGCCATGTGCGACTTTGTGGCCCGCGATGGCCCAGACTGCACTAGCGGGCTCAAGTGCAAGTGGGCCCACTCGCCTCAGGAGCGCAAGCTGTGGAACGTCATTAGACTCGTCCCGCATCTCAACTCTATCGCCAAGATCTTTGCAGACTCTGCGTCCGGGACAAAGACGAAGACCAAGGCCAAGAAAACGTTGGCATCGCACGCCGCCACCACCGAGAATGGCGTCGATGCCGCTCCGCGCGAGCGCTCCACATCCGAGGCCGTCGAGGAGCTGTTCGGTGTGTGGCGAACCCGCAACGAACACCTCGACGCTGTCGAGGACGTTCTTCTCGATTTTGACACCTTCCGCAACTTGCCCGACGGCATGCAGCACCGCGTGTGGCACTACGCTGAACGCGTCGTTGACGAGGCCATCGACATCTCGTCCGACAACTTTTTGGTCATTGCAAAGCTTGTCGCACTCGGCCGCAAGCTCGACTGGTCGCCGACAGAAACCATCGCCGAGTTTATTGTAGAGTCGGTCGCCCGTACCGTCTGCATCGGCGGCCTACACACCGGCTCGGTTGATCCCAAGAAGGCTTTTGCCGCTCACCTCGACATCTTTCAGGGCGAGTTTACTCTCTATGTCCGCGACGATGCCGCCACAAACGACATCATTGGCTACTTTTTCGCCCGCGAGACCCGCGAGCTCCGTGACGCTGTCGTCGCCCTCGTCGAGGCGCACCCGCACATGTCGGTCCGTGTCGGCAAGGCCAAGGTCGAGGCCACTCTTGCCATCCGCCACCAGCACTGCGCACCGTCCAACTACACCGACCTCTTTCGATCTGCCCGTAACGACAGCAGCAAGGAGCCATGGCCGGTCATCTGGCTTCGAGCATGCATTGCAGCCGACGAGGCGGCAACAACCTCGGCCACGGCCGCGACCGCGACCCCGGCCCCGGCCCCGACTGCGACCCCAACTCCGACACTGGCCCCCGCCCCAGAATCCGCGCCAAGCCCAGCGTTGTCTCCAGCCCCCACCCCAGCCCAGGCCCCGTCGAGCTGGGCCGCCGCTGCCGCGCCTGTCTCCGTCCCGCCTACCGCGGCGACGGCGCCTGCTACTCCACCGGGCTTTGTCGCTCCTGCCAACCCACCATCGACCTCTGCCGCCCCACTCACGGACAACGCCTCATTCCACCGCTGGTGCGAGTACTCCGACACAATGGAGATCCGCGTGAGGTTGACGCCCGTTGAAACGCCCTCTGTCGTCCGGCAAGTCGCAGCCGTTGCCAATGGTGTAGCGGTCCACGTCCTCGACACCCCGGCCGCCGAGCTTGGAGTCGGCATCGACTCGAAGACCGTGTATGGTCTACTCACACTGCCTGGCGAGCCGCAGCCCAAGGTTGTCGCTGTCAAGGTTGTCAACGAAACCACAATCCCTGGCGAGGTCCTCTCTGGCATCATCTGCCCCGATCCGTCGGTACAGGCGGCGCTGACGACTCTGTCGCACTCGCAGCAGGCGCTCTTCATGCCGTACCACATCCAGCACCAAGGCGCGGCATACTCCCTCTCCGGAGCTACGACCAGCGAGACTGGCGTCATCACCGCCATGCCGCTCGCGCTCTGCTCAGTTGAGTCGCTGGTGACCGGCAAGCTCCTCGCCGACGGTTCGTATGTCGACGGCGCCCAGCTCGGCACCGACGAGCTTGTCTTTGTGGCGGCGTCGATGGCTCACGCCACCCACGCGCTCTTTACCGCCGGTGTGCGCTTTGGCGACATCCGCCCGTCCAACTTCTTAGTTCTCCGTGACGGCCGAGTTGTCCTCTCGGACTACGGCTACTTGCGGGTCGTCGATCTGCCGTCTGCCGCCGAGAACCTCGGTCTCACCGAGCCGCCCAAGTTTTCCCACGCCGGCTTTCGCTTCCAGGCGCCCGAGGTCCTCGCGGTCCTCGCCCGTAAGCCGGGTGCCGACTTGCTCGCAGCCTTTGAGCTGCCCACCGGCTTGGACGCCGCCGCTGCCACCGCCAGCGCAGGCCTCCTCCGTCTCCGCGAGTCGGCTATCGTCTTTACCCTTGGCGTCGCCCTCGCATTTGTCGGCTCTGGTGGCCAGTATCCGTTTGGCCCAGACGCCAGAGACCACGACCTTGCGCTCATTGCCATGCTCAACTCAGGCAAGCCAGTTGCGCCCGACCTCGCAGGCATTACCGATCTCTTCCTCCGTGACTTGGTGGTGTGGATGCTCGACGCCGAACCGAGCAAGCGACCGAGCCTCGCTGCTGTTGTCAAGCATCCAGCGTTCTGCTCGGCGGACGCGTCTGCCGCCACCCTTGATCGGCTGGAGCGCGCTTTGCGCGCCGGGCGCGTCCCGCCGGCCGTCCGCAATCATCTCGAGTCTGCCATCGGCGACATGATCACGCCCGGAGCTTGTGCGTGGAACGACGGCCTACAGCCCGGGACGTACGAGACGCTGGTCCCGACGAATGCTGCGGGTATGAGGCCGGCGCCGCTTTCGCTCGAAGGATTGGTTGCGTTTGTTACCGGCGCGCTCTCGGCGCCGTCAGTGGACAGAAAAGCCTTTCTCCGCAATCACATGGCACAGGCGCTCCTCTCCGAGTACTACAAAGCCCGAGAGGCATACACTGCGTGGGTCATGCGCCAGGTCGACGATCTCGCCTTTCTCCGCGGCGAGTGATCGTCGTCATGCCTTGCGGTGCTTTAGCACTGCAGCCTGCTGCGCCATCAGCCGACGCTCCCGCATGGCCGCCCGCTTGATCTGGCTCCGCGACGACTCCATTCGCTTGCGCGCCGCCAGAGAGCGGTCGGTGACGTCGGTGGGAAGGCGGACGTTCTCGTCGTTTGCCATGGCACGTGCCTGCAGCTCTTTGGCCTTGAGCCGAATGAACGCATCATCAATGTTGTCCTTGGTCTCTTGCGCAGCTTCCAGCTTGCGCTTCAGGCGCTCACGGCGCAGCCGAGTCCTGGTCTTGCCTTTGACCGGCGGCCGGCGGTAGCGGACAACGTGGGCCTCGTTGGATGCCGTCGCGGTTGCAGCCGCGTCCTCAAGCGTCGGGAGGATCTCACCAGAAGGGAGGAGCCGGCGCACTTCACTTGGGGCCGCAAACAGCGCGTGCCGCTCGGCGGTGCAAAAGTACTCTTCGCCCATCACTGTCCCGTCGTTGCGCCCGATCGAGTAGAAGAAGCCTTTGTGCTTGAGCGCGTATCCGGCAGTCAGCTCGGCCGGCTTGTCGAGCTCGATCCCGATCCACACCGGGTGCTCGTCTGTGGCAAACTGTGGAACACCAATGTAGCGAATGACTCCATCGAGGCCGTGCGATCGCACCCTGTCTCCAAGCGAGAGCCGCGCCTTGGCCTCCCTCAATGCTGTCTGCGTCTCATGGCAGTTGGCGTCGGCAATGGTTCCACGCATCTGGGCCGAACCTGGCCGCGGCTTGCGACTCGCCCGAGCTCCACGCACCTTGCTTCGAGCCACATCTGCCGAAGCCGGCCGGGCTCGCTTTAGCGGCTCGACGTGGTGCGCGCGGACGATAGCGCCGTGATCGGCCCGTGCCTCAAAGTAGAACACGCCGTCGACCGAGCCGTCGCAGGACCCGATGGGGCTTGCCAGCTCGACCCCGACATGCATGCCGGACGCGAATTGGACCTCACCCACATACCGCACAATTCCGGGCACGGGAGTTGTGTCGAGGCCATGGACGGCGACCTGTGAGAAGAAGCGGCAAGGGGAAGGGGTTGGGTGGGTGGGTGTGTGTGGGTGGGGGGGGGGGGGAGGGGGGGGGGGGGAGAGTGAGTGCAAAAGTTTGAATGCAGTTGTGGCCAACGGACTGATCTCCCTCTTTGGCGTGGGGGAGGGCATGGCGAGAGGCGGTGCGTACACGGCTGCCGATGCGGATTCCGTTGTGGAGAGTAGACGTTGTCATGCAGAACAGCAGACTTTGCTAGGTGGAGTGGCAGTGAAAGTGGTGGTGGTGGAGGTGGTGGTGACTGCGGTGGTGGGTGAGTGGGGTTGAGTTGAGTGCTTGTCAGGCTGATAATAAGCTGTGTTACTCGGCTAGCGGTTACTCGGCTGCGTGTGCATTGTCGTCTGCAGCCAAGACATCGCTTGATGCCGAGTCGACATGGCGAAGTGACTGCGAAGCGGCAAACTGGCTCGGTACGATCGAGTACTCCGAATCCGAGATGGCAAGCGAGCCGTCCGAGGCATACACGAGTCGGCGCGGTAGCGGCGAGGGCTGACCGTTGGCCGGCTGGGCGGCGAGGACAGCAGCGGCTTGCTGCGAGAGCACGTCGTGGACAGCGCGACGCGAGGAGATGGAGTGGGCAAGAGAGGAGTCCTCGCTGGTGCTGAGTGACTCGCGGACAGTGTGTGATGACCGAAGTGAGGCCTCGTCCATGGCCAGAGCTTCGGTGAGGTACGATGAACGAGTGAGGCGCGGTGAGGCGTCGGCGCCGCGGACCGATGCGGGATCCCCGGATGGGTGCGCCAGCGGCTTGGGAGAACGGAGGGTGGCGAGGTGGGCGTACTTGGTCTGGAGAACAGAGACCTCGTACTCGAGATCGCTCTTGGCGATGCGCATCTCCTCGACTTCGCCACGGAGAACGGCACGCTCATCGGAGAGGATGCGAACCTGAGCCACCTTTTCCGAGTACGCGGCCTTGGGCACCATGTCCTCGTAAATGCGCGACAGCTCGTCCTGGGCCTCGACGAGTGCGGCCTGGGTTGCCTCCAGCTCGCCCTCCAGAGCCGCTACGCGAGCGAGGGCAGCGCGCCGATCGTGAGCCTCGGTCTCGAGCTTGCTAAGCGCGCTGCTGGCAGAGAGTTCGGCCTGGCCCTTGGCCTCGGCCAGCATAACTGCCTCTGACTCCTTGGCGAGGAACTTGGAGTCTGCGTCGGCCAGCGAGAGCTTGAGCCGGGCGAGTGCCTCTTCAAGGTGAGCGATACGGCGCTGCGCGACTTCAGACTCGCTGCGGAGTTCGTTGCGGGCAGCGGCGACATCGGCGTCGGCTCCCGCGAGCGAGGCCTCCAGCTGCTCAACTCTGACGGCCAGCTCTGCGTCAGTCGAGGTGTTGGCGAGCTTCTCGGTGAGCTCCGCAACTTCCCGGCGCAGGTCGTTAGCGACAACTTGAGCCTCGAGCTTGGCTTGCTTCAAGTCTGCCATCTCGCGCTCAAGTCGGCCGGCGTCGAGGATGGAGATGGACGACTCGTTGAAAAAGTGTGAGACGGAGATGCCAGACGTGTTCCCAGCACCGCCACCACCGCCGGTACCACCCACAGACATCGAATGGGTGAGCACTGTGTTCTCGCGCTCGACCTCATGCAGTCGGGCCTCCAGCGCGTGGTTCCGCGCCTCGACTACAGCCACCCGCGCCTTGGCCTGCTCCAGCTCGTGATTGGCCGCAGTCGCGTCTGCTGACAGCGCGTCCGACATGGCCGATCGCTGCGCACGTTCCCACCCCACCACCGCACCGCGAGCCAGCTCCAGCTGCTCCTGCAGCGACGAAACCTCGTTGTTGAGCTCCAGGATCTGGCGCTGCAACGACTTGGCGTACGCCTTGTGCTTTGACTTGGCGTCAGCAATGCTCTGTCGAGCTTCAGCACGTGCTGCCGCCGCGGCAGTCTCGGCCTCGCCCGTCTTGGCGTGGGCAGTCTCGGCCTCGGCCTTGGCAGCCGCAGCCTCGTCTTCGGCCTTGGCTACCCTGGCGACAGCAGTCTCGGCCTCGGCCTTGGCAGCCGCAGCCTCGTCTTCGGCCTCGGCTAGCCTGGCGACAGCAGCCTCGGCTTCGGCCTTGGCAGCCGCAGCCTCGTCTTCGGCCTCGGCTAGCCTGGCGACAGCAGCCTCGGCTTCGGCCTTGGCAGCCGCAGCCTCGTCTTCGGCCTCGGCTAGCCTGGCGACAGCAGCCTCGGCGTCGGCCTTGGCAGCCACAGCCTCGTCTTCGGCCTTGTCCGTCTTGGCGCGAGCAGCCTCAGCCTCACTCTTGGCAGCCTCGGCCTCACTCTTGGCAGCCTCGGCCTCACTCTTGGCAGCCTCGGCCTCGGCCTTGGCAGCCTCGGCCTCGGCCTTGGCAGCCTCGGCCTCACTCTTGGCAGCCTCGGTCTCGGCCTTGGCAGTTGCAGCCGCAGCCTCGGCCTCAGAAGCTGCGTTCTGGGCAGCCGCAGCCTGTGCTTTGGCAGCAGCAACATCTGCATCGGCCTGCGCCGCAGCTCGCTGCTGCTCGCCAACAAGCTCTGTTGCTTTGGACTTGGCAGCCACCGCGGACTCGACCATAGCTTGAGCCTCCCTGGCTCGCGCGTCGGCAGCTTGAGCATCGGCCTTGGCCGCTTCGGCCGCCGATTCGGCTTCACCCTTGGCTGCCTCGGCCGCCTCGGCTCGCGCCTCAGCATCCTCCTTTGCTGCGACAGCCTCCTGCACGCGCAACTGGGCAGCCTCAACCTCAATCCTGGCGGTCTCGACAGCAGCCTTGGCCCGCGCCTCGGCATCCGTCCTTGCCACCACAGCCTCCTGCACGCGCACCTGGGCAGCATCAGCAGCTTCAACCTTGGCTGTCTCGGCCGCCTCGGCCCGTGCCTCGGCATCCTCCTTCGCTGCAATAGCCTCCTGCACGCGCACCTCGGCAGCCTCTACCTCAATCCTGGCGGCCTCGGCAGCAGCCTCGACCTCGGCCTTGGCAGCTTCGACTTCCCTCGTGCGCACCCCAGCGGCTTCGACAGCCTTGGACTCTGCAAGCCTGGCGGCCTCGGCAGCAGCAGTCATCTTCTCCACATTCGCAACAGAAGACAGAAGCTCACCGCGAACATGCGCAAGTTCCATCGTCGCTTGCTCCAAAGCCTCCTCACTTTCTCCGTGCCGGCGCACAGCCTGCTCGAGTGACTCTTCCAAACGGGCTGATTGTTCGCGCGCATCGCGTACCACCGACCGCATCGCCGCGAGCGCAGAAGCCGGTGCACGCGGCGTGGCGGCCTGTCGTGCCAGCCGCCACACCCTACGGATCCATGGCCCAGGAGATGTCAGCGCGGCGAGTGCTTCGGGGCTCAGCTCTGCAGCGCGCCGAAGCGCATTGTTCTCGCGAGCCAGCTCGATCCGCCGCGCAATGAGCTCCTCAATCGTCGCGGTCACCGCGTCCGCGTCCCGGTCGCGCGATGACTCGTGGATGTACCGCGACAGCGTTTCCTGCATACCTGCAAGTTTGTGCTTCAGTGCCTCCAGGGACTCGCCGCTTGACTCGCTTGTCGCCGTCTTGCACATCACATCATGTGCAAGCGGTCCGACATCGCCAGATTCCAGCTGGGACACTCTCACTTCGAGCTCACGCCGTGCAGCCTCGCTCGCCCGCAGCTGCTCGTACAGCGTTCCGACTGGCTTTGTGCCCACATCTTCCTCATTGGCACCAAGCAGGACCATCTTGCGCCGCAGCGTCAGAGACTCGGCCTCGGCTGCGTCCTTGGCCGACGAAAGCTCTTCCACAGCTGACATCACAGCCTCGGCTCTTTCGGCCTCGTCTGTCACTTCCAACGCCTGGCGCACATTAGCCTTGATCGTCTCGGCATCGACGTCGGCTTCGACTGTCGCACCGCTCTTGTTGCTTCCGACTTCCATCTCACTTTCTCTCGTCACTGTCTGTAGTTGCTCTGACAACTCGGCGTTCTCGTTGGCCAGCTCATCAAGCCGCGCGTACACGGCATCCACTGCACTGGCATCCTCGGCCTCCAGCGCAGCCCGCAGCATGTCCTGGACGTACACCAGCCGGTCCGAAAGCTTGGTCACCCGCTTGTTGAGAACCTCGAGCTTGGCTTCTGCCTCTGCTGCTGCCGCCGCATCCGCCCCAACCTCGTCTCCAGTCGAGTCCTGCGCCTTGGCCTTCAGCTCGGCGTTCTCGTTGGCCAGCTCATCAAGCCGCGCGTACACGGCATCCACTGCACTGGCATCCTCGGCCTCCAGCGCAGCCCGCAGCATGTCCTGGACGTACACCAGCCGGTCCGAAAGCTTGGTCACCCGCTTGTTGAGAACCTCGAGCTTGGCTTCTGCCTCTGCTGCTGCCGCCGCATCCGCCCCAACCTCGTCTCCAGTCGAGTCCTGCGCCCTGGCCTTCAGCTCGGCGTTCTCGTTGGCCAGCTCATCAAGCCGCGCGTACACGGCATCCACTGCACTGGCATCCTCGGCCTCTAGCGCAGCCCGCAGCATGTCCTGGACGTACACCAGCCGGTCCGAAAGCTTGGCCACCCGCTTGTTGAGAACCTCAAACCTGGCTTCTGCCTCAGCATCCGTACTCGCCTCCGTCTCCACATCGTCTGCAGCCTCGCGAGCAGCCTCCACCTCCGCCGCTAACCGCGTATTCTCCAGCTCCAGAGCGCGCTTGGCAGCAAGGACCTCGTCAAGCGCAGCATAGACGGCGTCAGCGGTCCCCTCGCCCTCGGTCTCGAGCGCACGGGTCAGCATCGTCTCTACGTACTGCAGCTTGTCTGCCAGTCGTACGACACGACCGTTGAGAGCCTCCATCTCGGCCTCGTGCTCGGCCTCGAGTGCCTCGATCTCGGCATCGCTCGCGCCACCTGGAGGAGCATCGACCTTGCTACGCTCGACAGCATTTTCCAGCTCGGTCACCTGGTTCGCAAGCACATCGCGCTGGGTCACCAGCTTGGCGTTTTCGTCCACCATCTCGTCGAGTCGAGACACCACCACGTCCAACGCGTTCCGGTCAGAGTCCTCCATCTGCGAGTTGGTCATCACCGCCGACAGCATTCCGTGAAGCTTTTCATGCTTGGCCGAGAGTAGCGACATGCGCTCTTCCAGCGCGTCCATCGCCTCTTGCGACTCCAACTCCAGCTCCTCGTATCGCTCCTCGGCCCGCGCCACCTTGCGCTGCGCCTTGGCCAGCATGTCTTCGTTGGCCCGTGAGACAGCTAGCATTGACTCGACCGCTTGCTTTGCATCACGCAGTGGCACCAAATCATGCAACTTGCGCTCAGCATTGAGAGCCTTCAGCACGTATTCGTGCTCCGACGAGTACAACGCCCGCTCAGAGTCGGCAACTTCATAGTCGCGCTCGTACTCCCGCACCGAGAACCGCAGCGAGTCCACCACCCGCAGCTGAGCCTCCAGCTTCCGCTCTACATCTTCCTTAGCCTTTCGCAGCGCCTCCATATCTGGGCTTTCCTCGCCATTCCCTCCTCCACTGGCCAGCGCACGCTCCAGCTCGCGGCGCGCTTCCGACAGAGCCTCTGACTCAGTTCGCAGCGCCGCCTCGGTCTCGCGCAGCTGCGCCTCGGCAGACGCCTTTTTCTCAGCCAGCTCGTCCACCACAGTGTCGATACGCTCCAGCTTGCTTGCCTCGTCCTCGCCGTCCATGTACCCTGCCAGCATGCCGTGGACCGTTGTCAACTTCTCAGTGAGCACCTGGACCCGTCGTTCGAGAGCGTGCACCCGCGGCCCGTCAGATCCGTCGTCGTCTCTACTCATAGCACTGCTGGCGCTCTCGGCCTTGGCCCGCCGCCGCAGATTGGCGTCGATCAGCTGTCGTCGCGACTCACGGAGCTGACCTTCGGTCTCACCGACCTTGGCAACAAGTGCATCCACAATCTCGGCCCGCCCGCAGTCGCCTTCGGCGTCCACTGTTGACGATGCGCGCCCCAGAGCGGCATCGACCGCCTCAAGTTGCGCCGCCAACTCGGCCGCGCGCGTGTTCGCCGCTGCCAGCGACGACTGCAACGACGCCATCTGGTCGCGCGTTTGCGCCGCCTCAGCATCGCCACGCCGACTCCGGCTGTTGTGCACACCACCCGACTGTAGCCCCACGCTCCCGGTCGACTTGAGCATCTGAGCATCTGCTCGTGCAGCATCGAGCTCTTTGGTAAGCTCGTGAATGCGGAGCTCTGCTGCATTGCGCTGATCGAGCAACTCACCTAGTTCGACGGCGAGGTTTCGCGAGCCCGACTGCTCGTCTCGCAAGTACTCGGAGAGCGTCGACTGCATGACTGCATACTTGCTCATGAGCGCATTGAACCGCGCGTCCCACATGTCCAGCTGATCGCCAAGTGCCTCGTTGGCGGCTTCCAGCTCGGTGTTACGCTCGCGCAGCTGCGCAAGCAGAGAGCCCGAGTTGTCCGCCGGAAGCGAGCCCGTTGCCGAGCCGGGTCCGGAGAACACGCTCGCCATGTCCGACTCATAGTCCGCTGGCGAGCCTAGCGCAGAGCCTGATCGCCGCTTAGCCTGAGCGAGCTGCGCACGCAGCTGGTCCTGCGACGTCAGCAGTGCGTCCTTCACAGCATTCGCCTTCACAAGTTGCATTTCCAGCTCCGCGCGCTCTTCCACAAGCGCGTCAAGCTGGTCCAGGAGCTTACCACCGCCCTGCTCTTCGTCGGCCACATACGTGCCAAGCAGCTCACGCAACAGATCGTGCTTATCGGCTATCGCGCGAACCCGTGGACGCAGCGTCTCGTCACCCAAATCCAGATCGAACGCACTTGCCGACAAATCTGCCGCAGACTCGTTGCCGTCAGCCGCGTCAAGCCGCGCCAGCGACGTCGATAGCTGCCGTCGGAGAAGCGCCTCCTGCTTGCGCGGCGACGATGTCTCGGCCTGCTCTACCTGGAACTGCAGCGACTTGATCTTTGAAGAGAGCACCAGATTCTCGTTGGTCAGCCGGACAATCTCCAGCTGAGCCACCTGGCTCTCGTGCTCGGCCACCGACACCGCCTGCTCTGCAGCGTGGATCTTCTCCTCCATCGCCTCCTTCTCCATTGCCACAGCCTGAATGTGTCCCTTCAGCTCCGTTTTGGACGCCGAGTCGCTCTCGACAAACTGTCCCAACATCGCATTCGCTGCACCCAGGCGTCTGTTGAGCTCGTCAATCGTGTCGCGGAGCTCGGCCTCGGTTGCACTCGCCGACGCCCGCTCTGACGCAAGCTGCTCATGCAGTGCTTGGATGGACGAGTGCGCAGAAGCGCTGCCGCCCATCGACACCGCCCGGCGATGGCTGCCCCGATCAAGCACGTTGCCCTGTGCCTGACGGAGCACCTCGAGCTGCTCTGTCATTTCTGCCAGTGCTGCGGACGACTCGGCCCGTTGCTGCGCCAGCGCCGCCTCCACATCGGACTTTTCCTGCAGGATGCGGTCAAACTCATTGGCGAGTGCCTGCGAGCCCTGAGACTCGTTCTCTAGGTATGCCTTCAGGATGGACTCCATCTGCGCATGCCTCGATGACAGTGACTCGACCCGATTCGCCAGACGCCGCCGCTCCGCCTCGTCGGTCTCGGCCTGAGCCTCAAGGCTTGCCACTTGCGATCTGAGCTCGGCGCTCTGGCCGCTGCTGACAGTCGTCGCCGACACGACTGCCTCGCTCGATTGAGCCTGCTCCAACGCCATCTGGGCCTCAGCGGCCTTGAGCGTCATCGCCTCGAGCGACTTGGTCGCCGCGTCCAGCTGGCCCGCCAACTCCACCTTTTCCGCTGCCAGCTCGTCGAGCCGGGCCTCGACTTGTCGGGCTCCTGACGCGCCGTCGGTGCCCAGGTATCCGGCAAGCATCTCTTGTGTCACCTGCAGCTTCTCTGCAAGCACAGACGTCTTCGATTCGAGGGTTTTGCGCGCCTTCAATAGCGCCGCGTTGCGCTCCTTGATTGCCACATGCTCTGACTGCAGCTTGGCCAGCTCAGACACAGAAATCGGTGCCCGGTGCTCCATCTTGTCGAGCTCAATGGCGGCAAACCGTCCCAGCGAGACCATGCTCCGTGCACCCTCGAGCTGTGCCTTGGTCGACGCCAGCTGACGACGTAGCACCGCAATCTCCAGGTGAGGATCCTCGGTGGTAAATGACGCAGACCGCTCCCGTGTCAGCCGCCTGCCCGCCAACGAGCGGCCTTCAAGCGGTGAGAGGCCGGTTAGCACCACAAGCTCGTCGAGCGCACCACGCGCTTGCGGGCCCAGGAGCTCAGCTTCAAGGTGGTCAACCAGCTGCTCGACCCCAGCCCGAACCCGCCCCGAAGACTCACGCAGCGCATTCAACTCGTCCACTTCGGCATCCAGCATGGGCGCTGCTCGCTTCGCCATAGCCGCCACAGAAGGCAGGGCAGCTGGTGGCGCAGGCACGTCCAGCGCTTCAGCAAGCTCCAAACGGAGCTCATCAGAGAGAACATCTGGACTTTCAGCCTCAAGCTTGGACACCACGGCGACAAGTTTCGCCTGGGCCGCGTGCACTGCATCTTGCTGCTGCGCCACGTACGTTGCCAGCTTCACCCCACTCTTGAGCTCCGACAGCTCTTTGGCAAGCTCGCTCTGTGCCGCAGACGTCTCGCCGCTCTCCAGTCGACTCATCAGCGCATCGACGCCCAGCGCACGCGCGGCCTCAACCCGGGACGACAAGTTGAGGAGCTCCATAAATCCAAACGTAGCGTACAGGCCCTCGACTTGCCCCTGCAAGCTTGCGTTGTGGGCAGAGGCGTGGATGAGCGCGACTTCGGCCACGTCGCGCGCCGAGGTAGCCTCTGCAAGCTCGAGCTCGCCGCGCTCCACAAGTAGCGTGTGCAACTCGCGCTGGCGTGCTTCCAGCGCGGTCTCCAGCTGAGCCACTGCTTCGGACTCGAACGCCTGATACGCGGCCTCGGCCAGGCGCTCTAGCTGCGGCCCCAATCGCTCCGCCAGCGCGTCTAGTGGAGTGTCGCGACTGCCGTCGTCCGATGACGAGTCCGAGCCTGAAGCAGAGCTAGCATTATAGCCGCCAGTATCCTTGACCTCGCTAGCGTCGGCTGCTGAGCCAAGAACCTCATGACCCACGAGTGCAGCTGCAATGGAGACGACAGACTCGAGGCGTTTGACCTGCGCCTGAAGGGCGCGGACGCGAAGCAAGGCTTCATCGTCGGCGCCAGCGCTGGTCATGATGCCCTTTGCCGAGGCGGCCGCCGCCTCGGCCGAAGCGTGGGCGTCGGCAAAGTGTGCAAGGTCCATGTTAGCCGAGAGCACCTCGACCTGCGCCTCCAGGCGAGCGTTGCCTGCCCGAGCGGCGTCCAGTTCGCTCCGCAGTCTTTCCAACTCAGACGTTGGCATGGCCAGCGACTCGGTGCCACTCTCGCCGTGTTCGATGTCGGCTGACGGAACAGGCGATGATGCGCGCGAAGATGAGCGCGACGAGACTGCAAGCAGCTTCAACTGTGCGAGCGCGTCGATGAGTCGGGCCTGCTCGTTGTCCACTCGAGTTTGTGCGCGCGCCACAACCTTGTCTGGTGATGGCGGCAGCTGGGTCTCGGCAGTAAAGTCGCTCATCGACTTGGTGGCGGCATCGAGCGCAGTGCGCGCTGCGTGAGGATCGGCACTATGCAGCGCCGACGATGCAGCGCGGAGGTCGCGCGAGACCTCAACAAAGAGCGTATCATAGCGGGCGGCGGCCTCGCGTGCAACACTTGCCGCAGCAAGCGAAGTCTGCATCGCCGACACCTTGCCCTGCAGCCGTGCCATCCGAAGCGCGGTCGCGTCCGAGTCAGACAGTGAGCCAGACCGCGAGCGGCGGCGGCCCTCAGCAGCGAGCGCAGCGACCACGGGCGACTTGGCCGGCGTGCCTGCCGGTGTCGACGTTGGCGTCAAGAGCGTGCCCGCCGCCGCCGCGCCCGCCGCCGCCGCCTCGCGCTTCGCCAGAGCTTCCGCGTCGCGCGCTGCCTGAGCTTCAGCCAGTAGCTGCTTGCAATACGTGCCGAGCGTGTCGTTGTTGGCCTGCAGCGTCTCGGCTGCAGCTCGAATCTTGTCGCGGTCAGCCCGTGCTGCCGCGAGCTCAGCCTCGAGCTCGGCCAAGCGGGCTGCCGCAGATTGAGCACGCTCACTGGCCTGGACGTGGCCCGAAGCCTCTGCCCGCGTGGCTTCCGCCGACTCCTTGAGCAGGAATGCCAGCTCGTCCTTGTCTGCCTGTAGCTGGGCAATGGTGGCCTTGTCGGCGGCGGCGGCCGCAGCAGCAGCCGCCGCCGCGGCCTCCATGTCGGCGAGGGCGTTCGACTTGTCTGCAAGTGCAGCCTTGGACCGCTCGAGTGAGGCCTCAAGCGCAGCGAGCTCGTCGCGGGACGCGTTTTGGGCCTTGGCCGCGTCGGCGAGTTGTTCGCGGAGGTCTGCCACCTGCGCAGCGTGTCGCGCCTCAATAGCCTCAAGCTGCGGTTTGAGCTTGAGCTCGACATCGGCGCGGATGGAGGCCTCGCGCGAGACGGAGCGCTTGGTGAACTCTTGCGAAAGCGAGAACGACTCGCGCGATTTGTCCTTGAGGATGGCCTGCAGCTCGGCAATGCGCTTGTGCGCTGCGTTGAGCTCTCGAGTCGGAGCCGGCGACGTCGTCCTAATGTGAGTCAGCTTCTCGCGGAGCATCTCAATGGTGATGCAGAGCTTGCGCTTGGTATCCTTGTGGGCCTTGAGCTCCAGGAACAGGTGCGAGTCTTCGCGCTTGGCCAGCTCGGCCCGCGCATCCTCCAGCTGTGCCACCAGCTCCTTCTTGTCTGAAAGTGCAGCAGCAAGGCCCGCCTTGAGCTTGGCCACTCGGTGGGCCGCCGAATTGCGGTCCGACGCGTACTGCGCTTCCAGCGCGCTTTTCCACGCTTCGATCTCGGCCAGCGAGTTGGACTCCATCGTCACCAGCTCGGCCCGCTCCTCGTCGGTGGTGCAGAGTTGGCGGTAGTAGTGCGACCGGGCGTAGATGGTAGTCCGCATAGTGAGAAGTGACGACTGCAGGTCATGAACTTCGCGTTGCAGTCGGGCAATGGTCGCCTGGTCCTCGTCGGCGGCCGCAGCAGCCGCGGCTGCTGCGGCCGCTGCCTCTTGACGCGCGCCCTTGAGCTGTCGCGAGAGGATGGCTTTGTCGCGACGAAGCGTGTCTACTACAACCGCCGATGGGTCAATGTGGCCATCGTGGTTGGTGCTGCTGGCGCCAGCCTTGGCAATGGCGCGGCTGATCTCGTCTTCGTACTCTTTGGACATCTGTCGCTTGTATGTAGAGCTCCGGTGCTTCGACTTTGCCAGCGCCCGCGGCGATGACGGCTGCTCCAGCTCGGATGCTACAAGAGAGTCAACGATAGGAGTTGACGCCGCCCGCTCGCCCAGGCCCACCGATTTGAGCCGACGAGCTGCGCCACCGCGCCCACCACGCCGCGAGCCACGTCCGCGCCCGCGCCCGCGCCCACGCCCAGCCACCACTGACTTTCGCTCAGGCACGGCGACCGACCGCGAGCGGGTAAGACCAGCCCGCTTACGTCCGTCGCGCACTGTACGCTTGGAGCCAAGCTTGTGCCCGCCTTCACTTGTAGCACTCGCAGCACTCGCGGCGCTTCCGTCCGACGACCCGCGTGACAGCTGCCTGCTCCCCCTCGAGCTCGCCGAGTGATCGCGCGCTCTGCTGCCGCCGTCGAGGGAGAACGGGGCGAGCAAGTCGGTCATGTCGCTGTAGTCTCCAGCATACCCGCTTCCTAGTGAGGCCTCGGACATACCTCCCTCTCCTTCTCGCTGCAGAGTCGGGTGGTGCCACGCTGCGCGCCCTCCCCCCCCCCCTCCGCCCCGCCGCGCGCGCGCGCGCGCGCGCGCATGAAC